CTTCTGAGTATTCTACCCATTGCCATGCAAATTTTGTTTTCCATGCTGGCTGGTGGAAATAGGCACTATTGCTGACCTGTGTAAGCTTTAGAAAGCGTTCCTTATAATTATCCTCAAGCTTCAGGTTTCTTCCCAAGCACGTGCTGATCAGTACTCAGCTGAAGGCTTGAGAGGCACCGTCTGCAGAGCTCTGGAGCTTGTGTGGCACTTTCTCTCCTTTATCTGCCCTGCAAACTTTAGTCACCTTGGCCTTCCTGGAGTCCCAGATTGCCCTTTCCTCAGGGAGTCTGTGGAGCTCTGCATGGGTTCCCCTCTCCGGTGTGGTCTGGACACTCTTTACATGCAGTCCTCTCGGGGCAATCATAGGACTCAACCTTCAGGGATCCGTCCTTCATTACCTGATGTCCAATGACCTGAAAGCTGTTATTCATATATTTTCTTTCTTTCTTTTGTTAGTTATTTCGAGCAGGACACGAATCTAGTTCCTATTACTTCATCTTGACCGGAAGCTGCAAATGCTAAGTGTAACTTGGAGAGCATGTCAAAATACACATACCTTGGGCCATACTCCAGCCATACTAAACTACGAGCTGTAGGAGTGAGGCTATGGTCTGAATCGGCAATTGTGCATCCACTGTAGGCCAGGCACTGTTAGGCATTAGGTACGCAAGTGAAATTAGACAGAACGTTTGTTCACTATACAAGGAGCCCTGGTGGCACAGTGATTAAGTGCTCGGCTGCTAACCGAAAGGTTGGCAGTTCAAACCTACCACCCACTCTGCAGGAGAAAGAAGTGGCAGTCGGCTTCCATAAAGACTTCAGCCATGGAAACCCTATGGGGCACTTCTTCTCTGTCCTATAGGGTTGCTATGAGTCGGAATTGACTGAATGGCAAAGGAAAGAGTTTACAATCCACTGGGAAAGACCTAGTTATGATACAGTGTATTAAATATAGTGTCCATAGGTGTTATGAAGCATCCTTATGAGAAAAGCATCCAAATATAGCCTCATGGTGGCCGAGGGAGGGTTTTCAAATCCTGGAGGAAATGCCAGAGTGAGTTTGGAAAGATAGGCTGGAGTTAGTTTGCGTTAGTAGGAAAGGGAGTGGGGGTGGGGGTGGGGTAATGGGCCTGGGAAGCAAGAACACTCCAAGGATAGAAAACACTGTTATTAAGGTTCAGAGCTATAAGGTTGCATAATACATTTGGAAAGGTTTGAAATGAGCGGACCAAAGTGGGGGAGGGGAGGTCTTCAGTGTGTCCATCTGTAAAAGGAGCCATTTTTATCCCTAACATTTGACTTTCAGTGTGAGAGAAGAAAGTAAAAGAGAACACCTGATTTTAACTGAGATGAGTAGGCTAGTGAAACGTGATAATTGCATAGGCTCAATTTTCCCTTGAACTTCAATGTATGTCTAATTTAGTTATTCGTTCATTTATCAAAGGTTTATTAGGCACCTGTACATATTAGGCCACATGCTGGGTGCTAGGTATCCAGAAATTTGTTGACAGCAATGGGTTTTTTTTGAATAATAGTATTTTTTAAATGTGTATTTTAAACACTATTAAAGCATATTCCACTTACTAAAACACCTCATTCTACATAGTATCAGTTCCAGAAAAGCAAAGAGTGACAGCTCTCAGATGAAAGGAAATTTTCAGCCTGATGAGGGCAGCACATAGGGAATATAAGTGAATGCTTGGCACTTACTAAGGAGCAAGGAGACAGATGGACACAGTGGCTGCAACGATGGGCTCAAGCATAGCAACGACTGTGAGGATGGCGCAGGACCGGGCAGTGTTTTGTTCTGTTGTACACGGGGTCACTATGAGTCGGAACCGACTCGACAGCACCTAACAACAACAACGAGGAGCACGCACTGTTGTAAGCACTTTACGTAAATACACTCGTTTGATCCTCACGGAAACCCTATAGATCGGTCCTATTACTTATTTTAACCATAAGACACTCTTTTGGCAGCCGTCTTCACGTTTATTTCACCAGTTACTAACCATTACACTACCCGAGGAGTAACAAAGAAAGCCACAGAGATCTTGAGACATGGTGGAGTGGTCACTGAGAAGACAGAGGGTGGTGGGAGTAAGAGTTTTCTGCCAGGTGGAAGTTTTTCAGACTGCCAGAGGAATTTTCAAAAAGTCAAAAGGCAGACTCATCACCAGCTCCTCCAACGAGGGGATGTAGCTGTAAGCTGAAGAATCTCTTTAAGCTACATCTACTTATGTTCATCCAGCTCATGAATATTAATATCTTCGTAAAGGCCGGCTTGAATCCCTGCCTATATTCGGCCATCCCAAGTGTGGTTTAAAAAATAAATAGTACTAGAAACCAAAGAGTAAGCAGATGCAGAGTTTAGCATTTTCAACCTCATGAGATCAGCAGACATCTGTAACACACTTTCCATAAAGAAGCCGCCGGAGGTAGGATGGTGGTTACTGTTTCAAACCTTTGAAAGGAGAACTACCACTTGTCTTTAAAGCCTTCCTCACACACTCAGTGGAGGGCCTGAAAAACACCAGTGTCAAGGGCCGTGCTACTGCATTCTTTGAGCTGGAGATGAACAAGGCCTCTCCTGATGCCTCCTGATTCATGAGAACTCATTTTAATGGTTTTGAAAACTTCAGTGCTCTCTCAGCCTTGTACATTTTTATTTCCCCCACGGTCTATACTGAGACTGATGTCCACAGGGCCACTGTTGAATAATGAGTATTCCAGATGAAGAATCTTCTGACGTTTCAGTCTATTTCTTCACGTGATATCCCAAGTACTTTTTCCTACAGGGGAAAAAGAGAAATAGATTCTTAAAATTCCAAGTTTGATTCACTGTTCAAGTGAAAACATATGCCTGTTAACTCTGCTTTCTTATCCCAGGCATGACCCAAGGCTGGGAGACTGTGTTAGGGTTGGGGGAGGGTTTGGAAAGGTGATCGGCATTATTGGTATGCCTGCAAGGAAAATATCAGTTAAGAATTTATGTTACACATCCAGGGCTAATAGGCTACATCTTTTCTTGAAAATGGGCAAAGGCTTTCATGCTGTATTATAAAATTCATAAAAGTAGGTCCTGAAGGGCTGATGACTATGGAGGCTGTAAACGTCTCTTCTTTCACAGGGCTGTAGGACGAAACGTGTGAGGTTGCAGGACTGCTGGGTAACTCTGTGGGAACAGTACTCCAGGGTGAGGAAAAGGGCCAAGGAATAAATTAAAATCCCATTTTAAAAAAAAAAAGAATCTCATGGTTAGTATGTTTTGTAGATGGAGTAACTGTTCATTTGATTCATTCATTCATTATTCTACATGTCGTGGCTGAATATCTATGAAATATATAAAAGTAATGGGAGCTATAGGAGATTTAAAAAAAAAAAGCCATATAATACATGATCTGCCCTCACAAATTTGCAGTTTAGTTGGGAAGATTAGATGCACTCTATGAAACATGGAATACTGAGGCCATTAGGAACCCTGAGCTCCTGGAAAGCTTGTGCATGGGAATAGTTTTCCCTCCTTCCACACACCACTACAAGGACACTCCAGAGAGCCACCGAGATGCCTGGGGCCAATGGGAGTCCCACGGGGCTTGCCACACAGTGTCTTCTTTCTTCACTATTCAAGGAGCCTGAACACAGTTCTCAATCCACATCTCCTTCAGGCTTCCATAGCTCATCAGAAACTCCATTGCCGTCGAGTCAATTCCGACTCATAGCGACCCTATAGGACGGAGTAGAACTGCCCCATAGAGTTTCCAAAGAGTGCCTGGTGGATTCCAACTGCCGACCTTTTGGTTAGCAGCCGCAGCGCTAACCACTACACCACCAGTGTTTCCTTCATAACTCATATCTGCTCATAAATATTCTTTTATCAACAGCCTTTATTTATTTATTTTTAACCTTTTCTCTGTCACTTTGGAAAAATCAGCCCTTTTTCTTGGATCCTTTTTCCTCCCTCTCTTAATTTCTAGTTACATGCTCCAAACTAAATTTAACTATGCCCAAGGGTTAAGATAAGGGTTTCTGATGACCTGGAAAAGTAAAGTAATAAAATTCGAACTGAAGTTACAGATAATAAAGAACTAGTGCCATCAAATTCTAAAGCCTTTGGGAAAAAAAAATCCCCTTCATTATTTTTACTGAAGCAATCCATCTGTTTTCTGTAATTGGTACTGCTTTTCTCTCCGACAGCCAAATAAAAAGAAAATAAATAAAAGCATTTGTATTCATTTCTTTCCTCTTTTTATTTGATTTCTAGAATTTTTTTATAACAGATTTCTTGAAATATAAATAACATAGCATAAACCTCACCCTTTGAAGGCATACAATTCTATGGACAATTCACAGAGTTATTAAGCATCACTGCTATGTGAAGGAAGGATAGAGAGAATTGAAATAATGTCAAGGAATCTATCCTCCTCTTGGAATGAGTTAAGGAAGCTTGAATTTAGAATACTTAAAAGAGAGCCTGTGTTGTTCAGATCAACCACTTAACTGCTGTGCTATCAGGCGCTAAAGTGGAAAATAGAAGACTAGGTAAGCTCAATGAGCAGCCACTGAAGACCATTTCAGGCATCTCAGCCCCTCAGGCAAGGTCAGCTGCACTTTGCTTCTGGCAGCCAAGAGACCAAGCCTGTTTGAAAGCCCCAGGGTCACTTTGGCCAAGCGTAGGGCCCGCTCAAACCTCCTGCTGACCCCTGGATGAATCCAGTGGAAAGAGTCAGACTAAGGGTCATGTGGGGTAAAGACCTGTCCTCCTAGGAATAGCTTGAACGGACAATGCCCTGGGCCTAGTGAGGTTTAAAGCTCCAGGGTAGAACATTTTGACATGGTTAGCCTTATGTAGCCATTTGAGCACGGCAGTTTTGAGGCGCTCTCGAGAATGGGCATTAAGATGGGGGAGGGGTTGAGGCTGAGGTGTGGGAGGGTGAAGATGTCTGTTTTGCCTAGTATCAGTAATTAAAAATAGATGAAAATTTAACTGCTTGCTTTTTAGTTTGTATCAAACTGTCCTTGTCAAATGGCTAGGTCAAAGCTGCAATGACAAAATGCCAAGAACCCTACATTTCTGCATGAGGATTACCCTACACACCCCGTCAGCATTTGAGAAGATGAAGAAGGAACTGTCTGCCTTCCCTTGTCTCATGGCTGGAGCCTGCAAAATCTTTGCAAACAGAAATCATATCTGTCTAAACATTTTATATCTCAGCATCTCCTCATTTCCTGTTACTTCTGACCAACTCATCTCCCCCACACACATACCCCATATATCCTTTGGGAGCTCAGTAAATATTTATTGATGATAATCACTAAAAATATGTTCCCATCAATGGGATATATCTTTTGCCACTCAAGTGTCCTAACCCCGTGAGAACTGTTATACAGAAGTGTTCCCTTAAAAAAAAATTTTTTTTTTCCCATCCCATCTCCCTCCGAGTTCTGGGAAGATTAATTTTTAAATAGGATACACTTACCCATCCGCCATGCTGCTGGACCCAGGGTGAGAAGTTCTCTTTCAGGTACTTGGTTCCAAAGCCAAGCACCCTGTTCATGGGGTGGTTGTCGATGACAGTGAGCTTGGCGGCGACGTCTATTGCAAGGGCAGCCTTAAAGCCGTGAGCTTTGACCTCTGATTCTCCCCTGGTGTCCACACCCCTGAGGAACTGGTCTGTGAGGGTCTTGAAGGCAGAGTAGGACAGCCAGTCCTGGAAAGTGCTCATCAAAGCCTTGTCTTTCTTCAACTGTGTACAAGAGGAAAAGTATTCAGTAGAGCAGCTGGGCCAAGAGATGTATATGGAAGACCACTTTCTAGCTCGACGGTGGGCCACTAGAGCACCCAGTGGAAAAGCCCTGGATTCTAGTCTCAACCATGGCACCAATGTCACATAACTGGACTGGGCATGTATCTGCTGTTGGGAAGAGGGTCTGCCTCTGTATCCCCCATCCAGGCCACCTAAGCAGAGGTCTTGGGCCCAGAACATTCTCTGATAAGGAGGCTGAGAATTGGGTCTCTCTCTTTCATTCCCACCTCCATCTCCTTATCAGAGAAGACTTCCTCCCTGTTCTGGGTTCATAGTAACTGTTTCTGCCTCTTGCTCATGCACAGGCACCAGATGGCACCTGGCCAAGCCCACTTCCGTATCTGTTCCCTGGGTGTTCACCTGTTGCACAAGAGGGATGTGCATAGGACACCTGTCCTGCACCAACCACGAGGAGACCAGTGCCCACAACTGAGGCTGACCTTGCTCTGTCTCTTCTCTACGTGAGGAAAGCGTTGTTCCAATGCCTGCGTGCTTTGTGTCTTTTGTTGGTGACCTGAACCTTGATAAGACACTTGTTTTGTGATTACATTTCATGATGATGTAAGTGATAAAACTGAAAAACCCATTTCTTCAACTAATATTTTCTGGGCACTTGCAATGGGCAGGTACTGTGTTAGGCAGAGGGAATATAAAGATGATTAAGACTCAGGCCCTGACTAAGGGGGTTTAGTGGCAATTGCAATACAGTGGTAGGTGCTTTGCTAGAGATGGGGTAATGGGCAAAGGCAGGAGTCTGGAAGTCAGGCCACCTTGGATCAAACCCCTGCCCCACTTCTTACTAGCTGTGCAATCTTGGGGCAGTTACTTAACCTCTTGGCCTCAGTTTTGTCATCTCTAAATTGGGATGATGATGATAGAACCTATAAAACCAAACCAAACCCCTTGCCGTTGAATCAATTCTGACTCATAGCCACTCTGTAGGACAGCGTAGACTCCCCCATAGGATTTTCAGGGCTGTAATCTTTATGGAAGCAGACTGCCACATCATTCTCCAGTGGAGCAACTATTAGGTTTGAACTACTGACCTTTTAGTTAGCAGCTGAGCGCTTAGCCATTCCGCTACCAGGGCTGCTTGATAGAACCCAGACTGTCGAGTAAAACATTTACTATAGTGCCGGACATGAAGGAGGTGCTCACGTTAGTGTTAGTAGTGTTTCAGGATGTGTGTGGGGGGTGGGGGGTGCATAAAGGGGTCAGGTAAAGACTCCCTGAAGTGCATGTGCTCGCTTCATTAACCTAATCCCTTGATCCCTTTCCCATTATTCTACCCAATCGTCTTGCCTCCTATCCCTCCCTTGAACCAGTATCTGTCTGCTTTACGCATTTGGACTGCCACAACTTTAAAAAAAGCAACACAACTTCTGTTTCTTTTGAAAAAATCATGGCTTATGTAATTAAGGAGTCCCTGGATGGTGCAAATGTTTAAGCACTCGGCTGCTAATCAAAAGGCTGGAAGTTTGAGTTCACCCAGAGGCACCTTGGAAGAAAGTCCTGGTGATCTACTTCCAAAAAATCAGCCGCTGAAAACCCTATAGAAAATGAAAAAAATAATCCTTAACTTTATGTGGAATGGCAAGAGGCCCTGAATAGCTAAAACAATGTTGAAAGAGAAGAACAAAGTAGGAGGACTCACTGATTTTAAAACATATTACATAGCTACGGTAGTCAAAATAGCCTGGTACTGGAATAACAATAGACACATAGACCAATGGAATAGAATTGAGAGTCCAGAAATAAACCCACACGTCTATGATCAACTGATTTTTGACAAAGTTGCTAAGTCCGTTAGATGTGGAAAGAACAATATCTTCAATAAATGGTGTTGGGAAAACTGGATTTCTACATACAGAAAAATGAAACAGGATCCATGCCTCATACCATATACAAAAACAAATTTAAAATGGATTAAAGACTTAAATGTGCAAACTAAAACCATAATATTCTTACAAGAAAATGCCGGGGCAACGCTGTTGGGCCTAGCTTTTAACAATGGATTATCTGATATCGTAACAAAAGTACGACCAGCAAACGGCAAAATAAATAAATGGGACCTCATAAAAATTAAAAACTTTTGTTCATCAAGAGATTTTACAAAAAAGTGAAAAGACAAGCTACCAACTGGAAGAATATCTTCGGAAACCATATATCCGATAAGAATCTAATAACAAAAACATATATAAAACTTCAACAACATAGCGACAAACAAGACAAATAACCCACTCACAAAATGGGCAAAGGACTTGAATAGACATTTCACCAAAGAGGATATTCAAATGGCCACCAAACACATGAAAAGATGCTCAACATCATTAGCCATGCGAAAAACCAAACCCGTTGCCATCAAGTTGATTCCGACTCATAGTGACTCTGTAGGACAGAGTAGAACTGCTCCTAAGGGTTTCCAAGGAGAGGCTGGTGGATTTGAACTGCTGACATTTTGGTTAGCAGCTGAGCTCTTGACACTGTGCCACCAGGGTTCCCGTTAGCCATCAGAGAGGTGCAAATCAAAACCACAATGAAGTACCATTTCACTCCCATAGGATGGCTAAGATTAAAAAAAAAAAAAAGAAAATAGCAAGTGTTGGCGAAGATGTAGGGAAATTGGAACCCTTATTCATTGCTGATAGGAATGTAAAATGGTACAGCCGTTGTGGAAAACAGTGTGGCATTCCTCAAAAAACTAAAAGTAGAGCTACCATATGACCTAGCAAAGTATATACCCAAAAGACTCGAAAGCAGAGACTCAAACAGTGACTTGTATACCAATGTTCATTGCAGTACTATTCAAAACAGCCAAAAGGTGGAAACAACCTAAATGCCCATCAACAGATGAATGGATAAACAAAACGTGGTACATACATACAATGAAATACTACTCAGCCAGTAGAAGACATGAAGTCTTGATACATGCTACTATATGGATGGAGCTTGGAGACATTATGCTGAGTGAAATAAATCAGTCACAAAAAGGCAAGGAAAGGTAAATGTCTAGAGACCAAAGTTTATCAGTGGTTACTAGGGGCAGGAGGGAGGGTAAAAGTGGGGGGGAAAGGTTAACGGTGATGAAAAAATCGCATTGATTAAGGGTAGGGTTGCACAGCTGATTATTGTAATTTCTGTCAATAAGTTGTATACCTGTAAAAAGTTGAACTGGCAAAACTTGTGTGATGGGTACATTTACAACAACAACCACCAAAAAAAAGAGTAGCTGCTGAGATTGCTTATGTACAACCAAATGCCTCATGGGATTTGGTTCCCTGGTTTGGAGGTTTAGGCTCATGGTTTCATGAGACATCCCAGTTAATTGGCCTAAT